ATATTCCGTTGGGTCATCCCGCGCGGTGTAGTCTGGTGGATCATTCCTTCGTGCACACCCTGGTAGCCTGGATCTCCGTTCATTCCCTCCGATTGGATGACTTCCATGGTAACTGATCTGGTTTTTTGCCCTACATGAATGGTCACGGGGGTTGTTTGATATTCATTTGGTCCGTCAGGATGGGTGGGCTCGAGTGCTATAGTTTGGTTAGGTTGGTCGTTCTACCCCTGAGGGTGAGCGGAGCTGAATGGTATTTGTGCGGGGATGGTTAACTGGAGGTGAGGCTGGATGGTAAGAATGGGTTGGTCTTACAGGTGTGGGCTCTCTGTCTCTTGGGCATCTTGATCTCGAGACTAGGGTGGATCAGATGAATGGGATTCTGTTGGCAGATCCTTTCCTCCATGAGTCAGGATCGAGTCGTCGACCACCGATGAACTTAATGGACGTGGCCTTTTACCGAAGGCCGAGGGTCTGTGCTCTGGGGTTTGGAGAGGTTGCATGGATGGAATTGGGGTGCAGAATCGATTGGGAGGTACCTGGCAAGGCAGAAGCTCCGGATCATAGAACTGACTCACCTTCTCTTTAAGAGACTGGTTTTCGGCCCTGATGGATGCGTTTTTGCTCTGGAGTGCATTGTTCTCGGCTTCTAGTACAACCATCTTGTCTGAATTTTGTTGCATGAGAGCGGTCAGAGCCTCCAGTCTAGCCTCGAGGCCGGAGTTAGCGTTGTCCGAAGGGTCAGCCATGGAAAATTCCTCTACATAGCAATGATTGCTAGAGGCCCCATGATGGGTGCCAAACTGTAGACGTAAAAATCTACCTGTACGAAATGGGGGTCTGATCCCGTGAGGTTGAGGCCACTAGCGATCCGCTGCACCTACACACGTAGAGAAACAAGCGTGAAGCGAACGGAAAACATTGGGGTGGTGTTTACCGTAGGCACTCCGGCGCTCAAGTCAGCAAGGCTGAAAAAGGCTAGTATAGTGAGGGTTAGGGAGTAGAGACGTTACCGAAAGTCTAGTCGGGGACTGTGACTACGGCAGTGATGTGAAGCTCTCAAGTAGGAGCTTCGGGTGTGAAGGTGTAATGTAATCTAATGTCCCTTGTGAGAAGGCTGGCCTCTGCTTATATAGTGACTGTCTGGTCTCCCAGTCCTGGTAGGAGTAGGAGTCCTAGTGTGACTCTGATACAAACCCTAGAGGAATTAGGGTGGTGGTGAGCTGTCTTACCAATGTTCGAATAGGAAGGTGATCCCGAACAGGAAAGTAACCTCGAGTAGGAAAGTGACCTGAACAGGAAGGTGACCTCGAATAGGAGATTGATCTGGAATAGGAAAGTGATCTGTGGGTGCCGTGGGCTTTGGACTTGCTCATAGGTCCAGGAAGTGAACTGAGATTTGGAGGCCCAGACCCGATGGTTTGGGCCGACTATATCTCGTATCAAATGTGCCTAATCTGGATGGGACCGCATCGGGATTGGGCCTGGTCTCTTCCTCATTCAATCCCGTTCTCCTATTTGGGCCAAGGACAATTTTTGGCCCTAACATGAAGTTTAAACAAATAGGTTCTACTCAAATTTTTGTGATAACAGTTCAGCAATTAAGCTTTCAAAAAACCCTGTTTTTCATGGAAGATGCAAGCAGATAGATGTGAGGTATCACTTCTTATGTGATCTCACAAAGGATGAAGTTATTGATCTTGTCTACTGCCGAAGTGAAGACCAGGTAGCTGATATTTTTACTAAACCCCTCAAATTAGCTAGTTTTCTGAAGCTGAGAAAGTTAATTGGAGTTTATGCACTGGAAGATCAAATTTAATGGAATGTTCTGCATAATTGTTAAACTGAAGTTTTTAAACTTTCAGTTTAAGGGAGGGTTTGTTGGAATTTATTTATTTAATTAAAGTTTGTTTAGAAGTCCTAGTATTTAGGAAGCAATAATGCTACGAACACCGGGATTTTTGCACCGAAATATTGTAGCGGCCTACGTATAAGACATCTCTAATTTTTTTAACAATTTTTTTCTAGTGAACGGCCGTCCATCAAATTTGGATGGCCGTTCACTCACATGGACGCTCGTCCATATTATATGGACGGGCGTCCATATACAAGGGACGGGCGTCCCCATTTAAAGGACGCCCGTCCATAAATAAAATACAATAAAAAGTTTTTATAAATATTTGGGACGGCCGTCCATCTTTTATGGACGGCCGTCCATTACTTTTGGACAGGCGTCCATTTGTAATGGACGCCCGTCCATACTTTAAAAAAAAAAAAAAAAAAAAAAAAATTCGGAACATGGATACTGCTTCTTCTTTTTCCTTTCGGAAATGTTCCATTTTCTTTCTCTTGGAATAACGGCGCCATGCAGCTTGGATGAAGCATGCGGCCTATGTCCTCCACTGTTATGAGTAGAACCTGAAGGTGTGCTGAACCTGTCTACTGTGAAGGCGCCTGAATTGAGTGGCCGCAAATTTTAACTCTTCAGCGACAGAGCAAAAGCCTGAACCTCTCTCATAGCCTTCATCGTCCAGGTAGAGGATGGGAGGTTAATGCTAGATTTGGGTTCTAGTGCCCAGGTCAAAAGCTCCTGCCACAGAAGTCCCTTCTGGAAAAGTAAATTGTTTTGATAGTTAGTTTTGTTTTGAAATCCATTGTTTATCTGGATATTCTTTTTAATTGTTTTTTGTGAATGTGTAGAATTCTCAGTGTGATGTTTGCTTTAGTTGAGTTATTGGCATTGGTTTTATGGTTTTTGTTGTAGCGTGTAAAGAGGGATCATGGTTATCTGGAAAAGTAAATTAATAGTGGCTGGAGAGGCGATCAGTTTTGGCTGGCTGAAGAAGAAGAAGAGCGAAGAAGGTAAACATTTCCGAAAGGAGAAGAGAAGCAGTATCCATTTTAGAATTTCTTTTTTTTTTTTTTTTAAAGTATGGACAGGCGTCCATTACGAATGGACGCCCGTCCAAAAGTAATGGACGACCGTCCCGTCCATACTTTAAAAAAAAAAAAAATTATAAAAACTTTTTATTGTATTTTATTTATGGGGGACGCCCGTCCCTTGTATATGGACGCCCGTCCATATAATATGGACGAGCGTCCATGTGAGTGAACGGCCGTTCACTAGAAAAAAATTGTTAAAAAATTTAGAGATGTCTTACACGTAGGCTAGTATAATATTTCGGTGCAAAAATCCCGATGTCCGTAGCATTATTGAAAATTTAGAGATGTCTTACACGTAGGCCGGTACAATATTTCGGTGCAAAAATCCCGATGTCCGTAGCATTATTGATTTAGGAAGTCCATGTCTCAGTTTGTTTTTAATTTACCTAGTGTATAGGTTTTATTGTAGCAGAAAGTGGTTTAGTTTTCTGCACGTTAGTTATCCTATGTTTATGCTAAGGATGTTGAATTGTATTGCCTATTAAAAGGGTAGCTCAGTTTGAATAATATACATCAAGTATTTTTATAAGTAAATTTGCACCAAGTTTGTAATTTTATAGTAATTAACCACCTTGAAACTCCTTTTTCAAAATTAGCCAAGCCTCTGTTGAAGTATTTGCTACTGCAATTCTTGAGAAGATTGTCTCGTGCACTGCTTGTTGAATGAAGAACAAAGTTATGGCATCCTTCTTCTTGGTCTCCTCTGCTGGATTAGGCTCTTCCACGTCAACATATTTGTATTCAACCAAGTCCCATAGTTCTTGAGAATTGAACAAAGTCGTCATTTTGATACTCCCAAACTCAATACTTTTCACCATTGAAGATGGGCATTTGAGGAGGTGGAAATTCCATTTGGGTACACTCGCTCTCGCAGTTGACTTCTTTAACTCTTTTTGTGTTCGCCCAGTCAAAGACCGAAAACCACAATTGTTGTATTCGGTTCGGTGGAGAAAGACAAGAGCAATTAAAGAAAGTAAGAGCTAAAGTCGATACATATTTCATTGGATGTGCCTTTTATAGTCTTTCAAGATTAGCAGGCTTTTCTAAAACACCACTCTTCACGTGCACTACAAAACAGCAACAAAGCATAAAAGTAGAAACTAAACAACATATCATAGACTCTTTCAACCCATAGCTGAAGACTTACTAGCTAAAAAGACTATTTTGAATCAGCCATCAACAAAATTTAAAATTTCTCATTTTTGATAAATAGATGCTTTGGATTAAAGATGGGTAAAACAAGGAGACGATTTGGGAATCAGATCAATTATCGTATGGAAGCGAATTTTTATTGAAGGCGTGTCAATTTGCACAACTTTCGGTGATAATTAATAAAGTTTCAAATACTATATATATATATATGTTTTATAATGAAAATTCACAACATAGCAGTCAAAAGATAATGAAATGATCCCATTATTCCTAATTCTTTAAAAAGCAATTTCACATATATAGTCTTTTGTTTTTGGAACCAAATTAAGCTGACCACCAAGCTATGAAATCATTTCACAAAGAATTTCATTATGTTGCAATCCAGATCCTGCACACATTAATTCATTGATTATATTATACTTATTCTGAATACAAATTGAACAAAATGGTTTACTGTTTTGATGAAATTATTTTTAAAGTTACTTCTTGTCAGGGTATATTTATTTGCCCTTTCTTACAATAAAAATGTAGCTTAAGATGATTAATAAACATTTATATTAATATTATCAGTTTAATTAATTCCTTCATTAAAAAAGGGTAAATAATTGAACAACCAAAAATGAGCCAAGAAAAAGCAGGGCGCACATCAAGAAAATATGAACTAGCTATTTGTCCTCTATATATAATAAGCCGGTTCAACCCTTGGTCTGTAAAACAAGTAAATTTCATATAAATGATATATTTATATCCATTGCTGTAAATCATCTTGAGGTAATATTAATTGTCATCGTCAGCATGCATGAAAGTTTCAAAATTGAACGTATAGCCATCCTGATTTAATAGTAGAAAAAATCTCAATGATAGATGATAATCAAACACTGTATCTATATATGGATAAAGGCCCCAAATTTACTTACTTTATTCTAAAACAGGGATTACAATAACATGGTTTAACAAAAGCGGAGGATATCCATATTAGAAGAGCCCCTATGTTGTTATCAACTTGATATCAAACTTTCTATTAATTAGTTGCGCACTGAAATTGGTGGTGGAGGATTTCCATAGCCATAGCTTGGAGGAGGGCTTGAGGGAGCTGGTGGAGGAAGATGAACTACTGGTGTTGGAGGCCTTTGTGTTGGTGGACAAGGAGTAGGCTTATGAGGTGATGGAGGAGTTGGAGAAGGAGAAGGAGGTGGATGTACACGTGGAGGTGGTGAAGTTGGTGGTGGGGAACGTGGAGGGCTTTGCGTAGGTGGACAAAGAGGAGGTCTCTGAGGTGACGGTGGAGGACGATGCATTACTGGTGTTGGAGGCCTATAGGTTGGTGGGGGAGAATGTGGCGGGCTTTGTGTTGGTGGACAAGGAGTAGGGGATGGAGGAGGAGAATGAGGTGGAGGGCTTGAAGGAGGACGATATACTGGTGGGGGAGTGGCCGGTGGAGTGTAAGTCGGAGGAGGTGGACAATAAGTTGGCGGTGGTGGACTTTGAACCGGTGCTGCTGGTGGAGAATAAGTTGGAGGCGGAGGGCTTTGAATTGTTGCTGGTGGAGGACTATGAACTGGTGTTGGTGGTGGAGAATAAGTTGGAGGTGGTGGGCCATGAACTGGTGTTGGTGGTGGAGTATAAGTTGGAGGTGGGGGGCTATGAACTGGTGTTGGTGGTGGAGAATAAGTTGGGGGTGGAGGGCTATGAGTTGGTGGCGGAGAATGAGGAGGCCTATGAGTTGGTGGTGGAGAGTGAGGAGGCCTATGAACTGGTGTTGGTGGTGGAGAATAAGTTGGAGGTGATGGGCTATGAACTGGCGTTGGTGGTGGAGTATAAGTTGGAGGTGGGGGCCTATGAACTGGTGTTGGTGGTGGAGAATAAGTTGGGGGTGGAGGGCTATGAGTTGGTGGCGGAGAATGAGGAGGCCTATGAGTTGGTGGTGGAGAATGAGTCGGGGGTGGAGGGCTATGAGTTGGTGGTGGAGAATGAGGGGTCCTATGAGTTGGTGGGCGAAAGTGAGGAGGCCTTTGTTTAGGTGGACAGGCAGGAGGAGTTTTATGATGAGTAGGAGGAGAAGGAGGTGTTGGAGGTCTATGAACTGGTGGAGGTGAAGGTGTTCTTGTTGGAGAAGGTGGTGGTGAAGCACAAGGTGGTTTCAATGGAGGAGGATGTCTATGTTGCGGCGGCGATGGTGGGTGAGCTGGTCTAGTTGGAGTTGGGGGACGAAGCGTCGGAGGTGAAGGTGGTGGAGTTGATGGAGAACCATAAACTGGGGGTGACGGTGAAGGTGAAGGAGGTGGTTGTGTTGTTGGTGGAGGAGACTGATGTGGCGGCGGCGGCGAGTGCTGGTGATGAGGAGGAGACGGTGAAACGCAAGGAGGCGATTTGGGCGAAGGAGGAGGTTTATGTACTGGAGGGGGAGGATTTCCGTAAAGTGGTGGAGGGGATACGCCGTACCATTGGGTGGCGTATGAAGTGCCATGATCGGCTCTGGCAAAAGCACTGTTAATACTAAAAAGAAGAAGCAGAAAAATGAAAAGGGAAAGTGTATTCATGTTGAGCAAAAGAGGGAGTGGAGAGTTGAGAGTAATGGTTATGGTTATGGTTATGGAGATATAAAACAAGATGGAAAAGTGAAGTCTAAAGATGTCCGTTTCAAATGGTTGGAGAGACTCGTGTCAACTAGTATTATGCATGTTGAGAGATTGTAGTTTCAACTGCTGGAAGAGTCTTTTTGTCGGTGAATGCCTCAGTTGATGGAAACGGTTTTGATTGCGTAAAATATTTTTTCCCTAATAATATTTGTAATTGGTAAGTCAAAATTCAAAGCAGAGAAAACGTTTTGTTTTGCGTCATGGTAAGGTAATCTACAGCTTTTATTTTGGTTTTGACGTCAGCCAAATTAAAATCTTGATTTTTCTTTTTTATTGGACTGCCTGGATTAGTTTGTAGGTGCTTTTACTAATTTTATAGCATCTTATAATTATTAATTAAATAAGAGTTCTAATAACTATTCTTATTAGTTATCGTGGAGACTTGAATTCAAAAGATCATATTAGATCTTTTACTTGCTCTTTTATCTTAAAGGAGAATCAAACTTAAAACATCATATTAAATTCTCTTTTCATTTTTTTACCATTAAGTAAAATCTTGAGTCTCAATTAATCTACTATTACTTCAAAACATTATCAAACATAACCTTAATATGTCAAATGATAGATTTCCCTTTGGCTATCCAAAGTATTTGTTAAATATACTCAAAAGTTAAATAATAGAACGATGATTTTAGCTAAAAGTTTAACATGTTTGTTTGAAAATAACATTTTAATCCCTTGGAGTGCATTAAACATCCTTACATGTTCAATCAGATAGGTAAATCACAAATGACAAATGTGGTAGGTGAGCTTGAACATCAGACTTTTAAGGGGGTGTTTGTCTGAGCTTATGAAAATTAGCTTATAAGCAACAATTGCTTATAAGCTAAAATTAACTTATAAGCATTTGAAATTTTAAGCAATTACGTGTTTGGTTAAAGTACTTATAAGTGACTGATAAGTAATTGACGTGTTTGGTAAAATGTGACTTATAAGTACATTTTATTATAAAATTACTAAAAAAGGTACTACATTAAACAAGGACATACTATGGAATTTTAAAATTAAACAAGGATAATGTGGTAATATACTTGGTCAAACTAGCTTATAAGCAAAGTGCTTATAAGCTAAAAAAAAAAAGTACCTCCCCCCCAACTTATTTTTTTTAGCTTATAAGTTCAACTTATAAGCTCAAAAAAATTATAAACAAACAGGTCAGCTTAATTTTAGAGCTTATAAGCAAGTTTGACCAGCTTATAAGCTTAGACAAACACCCCCTAAGTAACCTAAGATCTTGTCATCTGAACTCAAATCAAGTGATTATATAAGTTTATGAGTTCAAGTCTCCCCTAAACACTAATAAGGGTGGTCATTGAGGTTTTTATTCGACCAATAATTTCAGGACCTCAAAAGATTAATTAAGGTACGTACAAACCGCCTAGACGCCTCAGTGATAAAAAAAAAAAAAACAAAATTGAAAACATAAGTTCGATATGATTGTTCCAAAAAAAATTGAAAAACATAAAATTTATAACCTATTAAAACCGCATTAAATTACCTACTAAAATTTCCCAGAACTATTTTTATCTCGCCTGTAATTTTTTGTTTTAAAAATATTAATTAAAACTGAAATTTTGTTTTAAAAAGATAAAGAGAAAAATTAAATTTTGATTTTTTTATTGGAATTTTTCTGTCTGTTTCTTAAGTTTTTATTTTTGTGAAAATAAAAACAAAATTCGTATATAAATATTTATTACACATTTTACGAGGAAGAAAAAATAAAAATAAAAAATCATTTTTTATTACCAAAATTAAATATTATTTGAATTCTAAAAAAAAAAAAAAGACCAACGAGTAGAAGAAGCAAAATGAGTCTGGTAAACTGAAATTAAATAGTAACATATACAAATAAAACTTGCCGTTGTGAAAGCCAATCACTCGACCGACGCCACGCCCGCACACACTTGCCTCTAATTAGCTTCTTTACAATCAATTGACAATTATTAAACTCTGAACTGAATCCGCAACCCCGAACCCCAACCCATGAGGCCGATAAGGCTTCCAGAACCGCCCAGTCCCAGCCGCGGTGTGCCGGAGATCTTTTCCGGCGGGGCTTACACAGTCATCAGACGGGCCGTTGTCATCGGAAACGGCTTTCCTGGTTCGGAGAATCAGACCCTCGGGTTGGTTCACGCCCTCGGCCTATCTGATAAGCACGTTCTATAAGTAAGTTTATTGATAGATCTCAAAACTATTGTAATTTGTTATTTATATGCTTTAATTTTGTGGTTTAGTGATCAAATATTTTGAAATTTAAGAAGTGATGGTTAAAATAATGCGAAAAAAAAAACTGTTAGTATTGAGATTTTTTCATAAACCTCTTGTTGAATTTTGAAATTTGTTAGGAACCTCTAAAATTTTTATCAGAAATGTTCCATATAGCTGATATTGTTGTTTGTTGGTTTATTTTCTTAAGCAAAAGGGATAATTAAAAGTAGGTTGGAATTAAGGGATGTGAATGAAATTTACCCTGCTGAAATTTCCGGACGGCTAGATTTCTGTACTTTTGTTTCATTTGTTGCTATCAATTTGTGTTATGCTGTTGAAAGAGAGAGCGGCGTTTGCAAAATTACAGCTCTGACGGTGTTAAACAGTTTTAGCCCAAGTTGTTGGTTTCGGAGTCATTACTTTCTCTTTTTCTTGGGTTCTTTTAAAGCTTTATTTAATGATATACATTTCATTCTAAGAATGTTGAGTACAAATTTAGAGAAGGATCTATTTATTTGTAAATAATGCCATTGAAAATTCTTTATATGGTCAAGCCATTGAAGACTTAATAGGGGGACCTGTAATGAAGAGAAAATATTGAGATAGTGGTGGATGATAACATACTTTGAATGTTTTCAGTTAGGTTAGTGATGTTTTTCCTTCTGAAAATGGTATTATACTTCTACAGATGGAAAAATTTGAGAAGCCTGAGTTTTAGAATGTTTATTGCTTTATTTAATGATAGTATCAGCTATGAAGTTATATTTGGGCAAGAGTAACTGTTTCCTGTATGAGAGTTGGCTACTGTTGTGGATTTGCTGCGGATTTAGTTTGTAAAGGACTTTACCTTTGTCTTATTTAGCCCTTAGACTTTTAATAGAAGTTTTCAAGGCAACAATTGTGGGGAATCTTGTGATTGATTTATAAGGAGATATATGGTTTGATGAGGGAAGTAGTTTTTAAATTTTTGAAAGACTGCTTTGTCAAACATACAGCTCTGAGCTCAATCTTCTAACATATTACTTTCTTCATGGTTCCTCCTTGAGTACTGATGAGGCTAGAGAAGCTGTAAGGGGATTTTTGTTGGTATGGGATGAAAGATGAGTATAAGTGTATAGCACATTTGTAAGTGGTATGAATTTAATTAGTATGACTGAAGGAATAAGAAGATAAACCATTTTTTTCCCAGATAGAATTATCCATTTACATGCCCTTTAATTACAAATACTACCAGTTCATCTTTTTCCAAAATTTAAATGTCATTGTCCCTCATAATTGACTTTTTCTTCTCCTAAGCAGCTCACTCATCACATTTAATGTTTCATGATCAATTAAGATGCCTCTGGTTGGGTAGCATTTTACTGTGCTTATACTGTATTTTAACATGGATTTAGGTTTACGTCTATTTTTTGTCATATAAAAATTGTGATGTGGGTTGAATTCACATAGCTTGAATTCTTCAGAATCTTCTTTGAAAATGTGTTTCGCTATGTAAATTCTAATATGCTTTTGATTTAATATGTAAGAGTCTTCATCAAACTGTGCCTTTTCTCTCCCTATTGATAGGAATTCTATTGTAGGTTTTCCTTTTCTATTTTTTCTTTTCCAGTTAGTTTGTGATGGTGGTTTGACTTAACATTGGTTATTGGATAATTTGAAAAATACAATAGAAATGGCTCTTTTTGTAATGACATGTATGCTAAAGTAATGATGGTTAAGAATCTTGGTTCTGATCAAGAGATCAGGGATTCAAATCCCTTGAGGTCAATAGTATCCCACCATTATCTTGGCTACTACCTTTTGTTAGAGATTTTAAGTAGCTCTCAGTTTAAAATTTGGTGAAAACATTGGAGAGGACAAGGGATTTTTGGGTGAGAAAAATAAATAAAATCAATTGTTAGTGTTAGACTTGTCTTGTTTTGCTTCTTATAATTTATTTAAGGTTGCTGCCACCATACCTAACCACTATTTTGTACGTTAAAATTTTGTCACTGTAGCCTTCTTTCCACAGCTGCAGTTAATTATTTTTTTTCTGAGCTTTCTTATGCTTAATACTGACATAATCTGCAGCGAGTTACAAGGCCAAGAGGAGGAATAAATGAGTTGCTTCATTGGCTCCCAGTTTCTCTTCACAAAAAGTTAGACTATGTCATGAGACAAATTTGTGGTTACTCACGACTTTTGCTGACATCTCGAAGGGAGAAACTTGTGCCTTTACCTTTGGAAAATGGTAGTGCAAGTTTGTCATCTGTACTTGAAGCTAATGTGAAGCAGATTGTGACTATGGCCCGTGATACATATGAAAAGTATGCTCTTTTCTGACTATTTATTTCTGACATTGTTTTGTTTATGCAATACTAATGTGTTAAAATAGGCTTTGGCTGAAACCAATTTTACGCTCATTCAAGTGACAACTGTATAATATTATTTTTGAAATTTCTGCTTGGTTTGATGCTGGGCTTGAAAATAGCAATAGCTTTATTTAATTATGGTCAACAATGTCCGCAAACCTGTATGCCAAAGAAAAAAATACAAAAAAAAAAAGAAAAGATATTTGTAATAGAATGCTTTTAATTCATTTTTTTGTTATCATTTGGTGGAAGAAAGCTCCCAGAGAAACAAAGAATTGAGAATTTCAGGTTCATATAACAAAATATATACAATTAGTATGGGCCTTAAAAGTAAGAAGAAAGTGGCTAGGGAAACAAGTTCTTTAATCTGAGCAGAAAACTGTTTTTAAGAATGGAAAATTGTTTTTGACTGCAGGAGATCAAATATGGACCCTTAATTTTCCTAGTGGCGGTCTTCCATTACATATATACACATTTTAGGGTGGGGAATCCCCAAACTCCCACTGCCGTTCGTACATTTTTACAAGACAATAAAATTTACCCTAAGAATGTCTATGGCATATTTGTTTTAAAGCTACACTAGTTAAATTTAGGGAACTTCTACTTTTATTAACCAAATCTGGCGTTTTATCAAGTTAAGATTATGGAATATGCCTTTACTTGCTTAGCCAAACATGATAATGTTTTCAATTATTTTTTCCAGGGATGGCCCTTTACTGGTAGTTGCATCTGGCAGAGATACTATTTCTATTGCAAGCTCTATAAAACGTTTAGCATCTGAGAACGTCTTTGTTGTTCAGGTTTGTTACTGGCCCTTGTTATTTTTCCGTTTTTGCGGTTGACCAAGTATTCTACTTCTCGAAATAATTTAAANTGCCTTTACTTGCTTAGCCAAACATGATAATGTTTTCAATTATTTTTTCCAGGGATGGCCCTTTACTGGTAGTTGCATCTGGCAGAGATACTATTTCTATTGCAAGCTCTATAAAACGTTTAGCATCTGAGAACGTCTTTGTTGTTCAGGTTTGTTACTGGCCCTTGTTATTTTTCCGTTTTTGCGGTTGACCAAGTATTCTACTTCTCGAAATAATTTTAAGTCTGTTTGGTTAAGGATTTAGCTACAATTCCTTATTTTTGTAAACAAGGGATACAATAAATCTTGAGAAAATGCGTTTATTGACAGTAAATTTGGAAACAGTATCTTGATGCAATTTAAAAAACTGCGTAAAATCTGAAAACAATAAGAGTGGTTTCTTTATACTTTTGGAGTATTACATTAAACACATCTAATATTAAATATATTGAGAATACATTTCAAATATATCTTAGTTTGATATTGTTTTTGACATAATTTATTCTAAGTGCTTCAACTTTTAGATGTTTATCCAAGAAGATATTGGTGCTTACACATTGTTAAGTAATCGATCACTACCACTGTTATTTTGATAATGCTTAGATTAGGCTGTATCTTATAATTCTAATGTTTTGATTAGGAAAGCAAATTCATTACTTAATTTTACTTTGTTAATATAACTGATGGGGATCAGGAAAGGGAGAGATAGCAAGAAAGAGTAGAAGTAATAGAAGAATAGAAAGGATAAACTTGAGGAGAGTAAGCAAGAAAGGGGAGAAGATAGAAGTTGGGGGAGAAAGCATCTTTATTATCAATTCATATTCAAAAAAAAGACAAAAAAGTTTTACACTACTAACTATGGCTTCTCAGCATAACCTTGGGGGTCCCAGCACAATCACTGAAGAAATAATCGTCATATCTACAACTGTCTGGAGATTATTCAGGCACGCACACAGACCACACACTGTTGAATGAGACACACATCCTTGATTCTAGTGATCAGATGGATGCTTTATTTTTAGGGTCACTCAGATGTAGGGTTTATAAGTAACTTCATGGTTCTTTTGGCTTTTGTCCTTTCATGTTGATGTTTGGTCAGAGAGCATTTATTGTTCAATAATATTTTATTGCCTCTTCTGTTTTATGAAAAACATTTCATAGTATTGCCACTACTTGTCGGAGATATAGGGGGACAATAGTACAAATTATTTTGGAAGAAAGTTAATACGACAATATGTGTGCACTAAGGAGTAAATAGGTTCTCAATAGTGCAAATTATTTATATTTCTATTGTCAAGCTTAATTTATTTATTTAATTATTCTTTTTGCAGATACAACATCCTAGGATACATTTGAATAGATTTGACTTGGTGATTACCCCTCGTCATGATTATTATCCTTTGACTCCTGAAGCACAAGAGAAAATTCCCCGATATCTTCGGAGTTGGATAACTCCACGTGAGCCCCCTGAGAAGAATGTGGTATGTATCATTGTTGTATATGGTCCTTTTCTGAGGAACTTTAGCTTCTTCCTAGTACTAAAGTTTGTAGCCCCTGCTGTGGACTCTTGAATTCAGGTCCTCACTACAGGAGCTTTACATCATATCGATTTTGCTGCATTACGCAGTGCAGCTAGTGTATGGCATGATGAGTTTGCACCTTTGCCAAAGCCCTTAGTTGTGGTCAACATAGGCGGGCCTACTGGTAATTTCTTGATGTTTTGATTCTTTTATGTTACATACACTGACTAGTATTTACTCTGAAATTTTGATGGCAGTATGTTCTTATTTTACAAAATTATTTTGCTAAAATTAATTTGAGAAATCATATAAAGAAATTGAATATTTTATTTTCAAGTTTAGAGAATCTGTTTGATGTAAATTTTGTGGATAGCTTGTTCACTTATCTCTAATTATTTTATCAATTAATCATATATTTTCTTTGTTTCTTCTCAAAAAGTTTAGTATAATTATTTGAATATAACATTCTGGAAATGAGAACAATGAAACATGTTCGGTTGAGTTTTTTGAAATTGAAAAAATATATTTTTAATGTGTAAAATACTTTATAAATATTCTTAATGTTTTTAGAAATCAAATTAAAATTACCTGTAAAAGTTAATGAGAATCCAATAACTAAAACATGTTTTTATATTTTGACAAATAAAATACAGAAAATGGAGAAAACTATATAAAGCATTATCCTTTTTTTCTGTTTTCCTTTTTTGAAAGTTAAGAAAATGGAATTTTTTCATCAAGACCTTGGGTTTGATGCCATTTTAAAGTACCACTCAATACAAAAGCTTAAGCTTTCAAGTAAAGCATAAACAGTAGTATTAAACTCTGTAATAAGCCTCCGACCAAAAGTGTAATTGTGGATCAAACCTAAGTTCAGACAGAAGAATTCCAATATCAAGTACCAAATGATAATGCTGCATGTGACACAAGGGATGTGAACTTAAGATCTTTAGGTTTGATATATTAAGTTAAGAGTTGACCCAAAAAGTTAAGCTTATTGTTATGGGTAAACAATGGTACTTACATGTCTATTAGCAATGCATAAAGTCAATTTCAACCACAATTTACTATGCAATGGATCTCCTTCAGTCCTATGTCTAGTTTTCCAGTCATGGTGTATAATGATACTAAGACACACCGAAACACACGTAAAACCATTATAAACAATATATAAAGCCATTAGCATGGATGTTTTACAAGCTTTTCATAATGTGGCTGCCATTTTTTTATGTAAAATAAAGTATACATGCGCAATTCCTTCACAGTCCACTTATGTAGTTCTCTTACCATACTGTTTAGTGATGATAAGACATAGTGAAACATATATAAAACCATCATAAACAATGTATAAAGTCATTAGCATGGATGTTTAAGTAGCCTATCATCCTTTGGCTGCCATTTTTTTTACCAAGTAAAATAAAAATATATGAGGAGCAACTTGTGCTTAGGGTATATTACATGGTATGATTGGCTTGACAGTGCTCTTATTATGGAACTATCATATGAGGATTTTTGTGTGTTTATCTGATCTAGTGCCCAAAATTTTTCACAGGCTGTTGTCGATATGGTTCAGATCTTGCGAAGCAGTTAACAGCCAGTCTTCTCAGTGTTCTTGTGAGCTGTGGGAGTGTCAGAATATCTTTTTCTAATAGAACGCCTGAAAAGGTTTCACTGCGATGTATATGTTAATTTTGTCATTAACTTTTATTAGAATTAGTGCTCATTAGCTTTCACTGGTAATCATTGTGACAGGTATCAAAGATCATTATCAAAGAACTTGGCAATAATCCAAAAGTTTACATCTGGGATGGCCAAGGTACTTTCATTTGATTTTGAATTTTTCCTTGCGATAAGATATAGACTAATACTACAGTTGCAAACCTTTTCTACAAATTTTTATTATACAAATGGATGTAGCACATAATGAAGTAAAAAAGTCCAATGCATTTGGTGAGAATGAATGGTGTGACAATAAAATAGTAATGTGATATCATTTTGTATGCATAGTTTGTGTGTAACATTACTCTTAACATATATAATGAACTGGAATGGTTATTTAATGTTACGGTTTGCAGAACCAAATCCGCACATGGGGAATTTAGCTTGGGCTGATGCTTTTGTCGTCACAGCAGATTCAATCAGTATGATAAGTGAAGCTTGCAGCACTGGGTATGCACCAGGCAATTTTTCCTGTTCTTATGATGAATTGAATACTAGTTTATATTTTCAATACCTTATTTGCAGGAAACCTGTGTATGTTATGGGAGCTGAGCGCTGTACATGGAAGTTTGCAGACTTCCACAAGTCTTTGAGGGAGCGAGGAGTGGTTCGGCCTTTTACAGGATCTGAGGATGTAAGTAAATTGTGAATTACCTGGTGAAGTTTACTTTGGTATCATCTCTTTAATTTAATTGAATTCTCTCTTACCAATGCAAATAGAAGTATCTCATGCTTCTTTTAATAAATCTCCAATCATGTTTGATGCTCACAAAGTTTGTTAAACCATCTATATCTTGACAAGTGACTTTTCGCTATTATTTTGGTCGCCATTTTTCTCCTCCATTTAACATTCTCTTGTATTCTTCCTACCCCTGTCTGTGGTATCTGTTTTAAGGCAGTAAAGGTATATGTCCATACCCTGCAAGTCCCATCTTTTTACTCAAGAGTTTTGTAATTATGTGGATACTTAATTACTATAACTCCTTAGTAATGGAGCTTAATTTGCTGGAATAACTTTTTGGTAGTCAATCAACTAGATGATAAATAATGGGTATGAATGTTGGGATATTGTAGGGTTTGGGTAATCTTGTCTGTCATAATGAACAGTAGCCTTTTGTCTCTTTATTTCAAGTATTTTATCTACATTACTGAAATATCTGGTGTTGTATGAGTAATTTATATAAAGCACTATATTTTTATGCTACAGCAATTTTATAATTTCCGAGGATACAGATTCCACCTGATGCTTTTGTTTTATAGAAAAGAGAATATAATTTCTTTTGTTAATTTCCAAGGAAATCACTAAGGCATACCTTAAAGGCAGGAAAGAAAAATTGGTCCATAACAAGAATAAAATGATTCATTGAAACCAAAAATTTGAATTGTAAGATACTGTCTCAATACAACTATTATTTCATGCGTGTGCCCACTAAATATGGAAATTAGAGGCTTGTTGCATCTCAATCAAAATCCTGCTACAACCCTTCCACTTATTAGGAAAACTAAAACTTAAATCTCCCTCTTGACACCAGGAGTCTCCCATTTCTCAAGCGTGCCCTTTTTTCTGCAGTTTGCATCATTCAACCTTCTCATACATTCCAAGAGATAATTTTAATTTATAACTTCTTCCAACCTGGTCAATTGATACTGCATACTCCGTGTATCCTACCAATTTTCTTTTTCGAAATTTGTAGGGCAACTATTTCACTGCCACCTTTGGTGTTTATAGTGATGTACTTACCACACAAAAAATTTGTTATTTTGGTGTCCTGCCTGTTAGCATCTTTTGATTAATTGAAGCAGAGAATGTTTCTTTATATAATCATATTATGTAATAAGTATACAAACTGGCACATTCTTTGTACATGCAATACATGTTGGCATAAATACATCTTTTAAGAAGCCATGTTTTGTCATTAATTTTAGTAGTGAAACTTTTATCTCTTGGTCCACATGAGATTCTCTCACCTCTAATTTCACTTTCTTACAACCAAAACCATCCTTTCCCTTCATCTTCTTTTGCATGCTAGGTTAATTGAATAAAGCTTTTTTCTATCGATTATTAGCGGTGCTTTTCCTTTTCATTGATATTTTTTTATGGTAACTACTAACTATCTTCAGTCAGTGATCCATTCTTGATTTCTTGACCACATTAATCTATTTGTTTATGCAAGGAACTATTGTAAAGTGTATATTCATCTCTGACTAGGCTTTGCTGAATCTAAGTTTTGTTATTCCCTATAGCAGAATAGATGTAGTTCTGATGTTTGATTTTCCAGGTATTTGAGCATTTATATTTTTTTATATCTTTCAGATGTCAGAAAGCTGGAGCTATCCTCCCCTTAATGATACTGCAGAAGCAGCTAGTCGGGTGCATGAAGCACTTGCAGAGCGTGGATGGAGACTACGAGCATAAGGAATCTGTTAATAATGATTGTCAAATTCTGTTTGAGAGGACACGTCTTTGAAAATATTTGTTTTGCTCACGTCACATATAGGAATACCGACTGCAAGCGTCAATAGCTATCAGATTGTATTCTTTACCCCCCGAGGGTTTTCAGACATGACACATGCAGAATGAAGAGTAGCGCCTACTGCGGCTTGTATAAAGAAGAGGGGCTGGCATATTTTTGCAGCTGTACTGAAAGCCCTTCTAAAGTTTTGGTTTGATAGTGTTCTATGTTTTGCTGAAATATTTGTTTTTGTAAATGCAACTGTTTTACTGAATTATAAGAGTTTGATTACACAGCGTAAAAGGAATTCTTTTCTGCACCAAACTACATCTATTTGAGCTGTTCTAACTGCAGTGATGCTTGTGTTCTTAATTTTTTTTTTCCCTCAATATCTAGAAATAATCCATGGTTAAGTTCCTCCTGTAGATATTGCAATCTTGTTATTCGAATGTGTCAATTTTGGTGCTGTCCTCAGGCATTCAGAAAGTAATATGGGTTTCTATGGAATCAGGAGTCAGGGTACTGTTATGTTGATGGTAACTTTATCAGTCTTTCAGAATTTTTAGATTAGTATTAATTCAAAAGAAAAGAATAAAAATATTGCTATCTATCCAGTGAATACCCAGATAGTATTGTTACCAATGCAGAAGCCCAGTGATTCACATGAATTCAGCAGAAGGCAAACAAATGGACATCAATCTTGTTTCACTCGCTACCAATATTTGGAAAACATTTCAACTCTTTTGTTGATGAATTGATCATATAACCTTATTATATATTTAAAATATGCTGCTGAAAAACTGGTAATTTTCATTTTTTTGTCTCTGAAAAATGGTTTGTATGAATAGATTAATGCTATGTTGATGAGATTAAGCAGAAAGCAAGAATATTTAGGTGGTTGGTCTGATATAAAGCATCTATGATCAATGAAGACGAAGAAAAGTGGCAAAACATATGCATAATGGATTAGCCAACCATTCAATTTTTTCTGATTGGTTCATCTCCAATCTCTGTAGTGGTTGTGAATATATTATTTATGCACAGATATCAAGGATGATTCTTCACACCAGTTGAAAACTGAACTTATAATTAATATAATCTCTGTATTCAGAAAAAATTGTATGAAGTGGAGCAAGTTATCATCTAACAACTCCTCCATAAAGCACCTAATTTCCCACTACGCTAAAATTTCAAACAGAACCAACCCATTACCCAACTCTACTTCCCTATATAACATACTTCACTTGATACCATTTCATATCAAGCTCAATTCCCTTCAACAACAGCTAACTAATTGAGGTTCATCTCTCCAGAACATATACTAATGGATTCAGGGCGCAGAGACGATTCAACAGTGATCACTATGCCTGAGTCAAAGTCAAATGGTAAAGGAAAGGCTCCTGCAGTTGCTATGGCTACTACGAAAGCTGCACCGGGAGGGTGGAAAAAAGGGGTATCCATTTTCGACTTCATTTTGAGACTAAGTGCCATTGGTGCAGCTCTAGGCGCCACTGCAACTATGGGCACAACCGACGAAACTCTGCCTTTCTTCACTCAGTTCTTCCAGTTCCAAGCTGAATATGATGATTTCGAAGTTTTCTTGTATGTATATTGTTTCATATTCAGCTATTGTCCATAGAAACTCTTTTATTTACCAGTTTTCGATGTATGCAGGTTCTTTGTCGTTGCAAACGGGATAACAAGTGCATATCTTGTCCTCTCCTTACCTTTCGCCATTGTTTGCATTGTTAGGCCTCATGCAGTCGGACCAAGGCTTCTCCTTCTCATCTTTGACACAGTAAGCTCAAAATTATATATATATATATATTACGATCAACAAAATCTGTTGTTCATAATAAATGTGTGCTTATTATATGGTTCAGGTGATTATGGCTCTGACTATCGGGGCTGCTGCGGCTGCTGCATCTATTGTGTATTTGGCTCATAGTGGGAATCCCAACGCAAATTGGCTTCCTATTTGTCAGCAGTTTGGTGACTTCTGCCAGAGTACTAGTGCGGCTGTGGTGAGCTCTTTCATTGCAGCATTTTTACTCATGTTCCTCGTAGTGTTATCTGGTTTTGCTCTTCGGAGAAACTAGTGAAGAAGGAGGGTTTATTTTCTCATTATATGTAATGTGGTGTTGTCAATCAACTTGTGTTTTGTGTGAATGTTGCGATATTAATCCCCTGCTTAAGCTCTGTAATTTCGTGTTGTGTAGTGTAACATGGTTTATGTAATGAAAGTTGAGCAAACAAAATGAATGATGATTTCTGATCTATTGTGTTCATCAGCTTGATTATGATTAAGGAATTTTGTTGTTCTTACAGAAATATTACCCTATTTTTTTAATTACTTTTAGACCCCATAAGGTTATTAATTTCACTAAATACCCCCTAAATTTTTTTTTTAAAATTAACAAAAACCCCCCCATCAACCCAACTTGTCAGATTCCGGCTATCACCGCCGGTGATAGCCGGAATCTGTACAACGGCCTAAATTCCGACCATAAATGGCCAGAATTACACTGATCTGGCCTTTTCTGGCTAGATCCACCACGGATCTGGCCAGAAAAGGCCAGATCTGGCCGTCAGCGACAGCCAAAGAAATGGCCATCAGCGACGGCCAAAGAAATGGCCGTCAGCGATGGTCAACGACGGCCACATCTTTGGCCGTCGCTGACGGCCAAAGATGGCCGTCGTTTTGGCTTTTCCGGCCGTCGACGGCCATAACAGGCTGTAGATCTGGCCTTTTCCGGCCAGATCCGTGGTGGATCTGGCCGGAAAAGGCCATAATGATGCGTTACGGCACAGATCCGATCGGTCTGTGCCGTAACGAAATTTTCCGGCCAGATTCAGACGGTGACGGCCGGAATCTGACACTGCAGGTGGTGGGGTTGTTTTTGTCATTTTATATAGTAGGGTCTTTAATTAAATTAGTAAACCTAAGGGCTTTTTCATAAATTTTTCAAATTTATCTCGTAATACTCCCCTATCCAACAATCCAATACTATCCTCAGAATCCTATCCAAAATACTACACCAAACGCACCCCATGATGTTCCCACCCAATGATGAGCAAAATGGCAGGTTTCCACCCTGTTTCGTAAATTCTAGAGTTCCACTCTTAATTTATTGATTAAACAGTTATTTGTATTACTTAAATCTGAAATGAAAATAAAAATTTCAAAATAACCCCCGACAGCTGCTACAAATTTCTCTCAATTCACCATTTTAGTCGGTGTCGTCGCTAGCCGTTTGCAACAATTTGCTACCAGTTTCTTCACCGGAATTGTCAAGAATAGCCACCTTTTCATTGCCCTCACCTTTGTGCCATCGAACCGACCAATTTTGGCTGGATTTTCTCAACCTTTGCTTCCAATCACAACTGCCATTTTTGCGCCCACCAACCGATTCTGGCATTGTTGTGACTCCCTGCCACCACCATTTGCTTCCTTATGTTTCCCTCATAAAACCCATCTTTAACTACCCTCATTGATCCCACAAATCGCAAGAAAACAAGTGTTTTGTGGAACACATAGCCAGTCCTCTCCTGCTCGATTCTGGCCAATCCCGACCACCACAATCCAACCTGTTACCACCAAAAGACTCATCAGTCTCGCTTCTTCAAAAGCTCTAACAGACCATATCAAGTTAGGTCTCTGATTGCTTGCTACCTCTTCTAAGGCTTTTTGCACAAGTTTGTGTGTTTGGGTTTCAATTGGAGTATTTTGGACTTGATTGGGTGAATTGGTTGTCTCTTTGAAGTGGTTGATTGTTTTGAAGTGTTATTGTGTTGATTGTGTGCTTTTCTGGTTGGTTTTCCTATCGCCAACGACTCACCAATCTCATCCCTTTCTATGCACACTAGGTGTTCGAGGAATTGCCTTAACGAACACCTAGTCTCTGTGCGCGCATACAACCTCCTCAAGTCTTCACCACTTTCCATCTCCAACGCCCACCAACCATTCAATAAAAAGCTGCAACCAACCCACTGCCGCCGCGAAGAAAAGGAAGGTTGAAGAAGAGGGAGGCTAGTTGCCTGCTGATTGCCGCCTGCCACTTCCCTTAGGGTTTTGCATGTTTTGGTCATCTTTTTGGTTGATTGGAGGTTGTTTTGGAGTTTTGGAAGGAGATTAAGATTTGGCTGACTGTGGGTTGTGGATTGTCACCGCTGCTCCCTTGCAGGCGTGTTTGGGTTTGTGTTCGATGGTGGTGGGAATGGCAGTGGCTAGGTGGTGGAGACGGGGATGATGTAAAGGTTGAAGAGGGTGTTAGTGAAATAAATTTGAAAGTAAGATGACATTTTCTAATTCTATTAAGTTGGGAGTTAAAAAATAATTTATTAATTGAAAAATGATACAGTCACCTATGAAGGGATACTGAATTGATGCACCAATTGATTAATTATGAATTTTGTTTTTAAAAAAATTGAATGGTGTCACGTCTGTTTGATACATGAATTTGGTATACTTTTTCGATAACGGTAGCATTATTCTTATTAATTTATTTGTTTATGTAATAGTATCCTAGTTAGTAAATACGGATATGGCAAAAAAACGGTGCGGAAATTATACGGGTATAATATAGCAAATGGTGAAAAATATGTTTATAAAAATTCGGCCATAAAATTCGGATACAGGAAAAATACGGTACGAGTATATACGGGTTTAATACGGTGTATTGTCAATAATACGTTTTGAAAAATATGGCAATATCAATCTTGGTTTTATCACTTTTATGGATTACCTGGTTAAAAGTAAATTATTCAATTAATCAATAACACAAATATACAATATATAACTGATATTCAAATTATAGTTTCTAGACTCAAACACAATATTTAGTCAAGATTCAACTATAGTGTCAAATTAAACACATAAGTCATAACAAAATCAAAATTTAAAGTCGAATAAGAGCTCAAAACTAATAAAATACACAAATAATACAACAAAGATTCAAATTATAGTTTGTAACAAAAACTCACAAAGTACATAAACAACAATAAGTCAATAACAACTCAAAAAAGAGCATCGATTTTTTACTGATTTAATTGGTAAGTGAGCTGTTAAATTTTTTACCTATATATATATATATATGAAGCAACTATAAGATAGATAAGATGCCTTTTATTCATACCATGTTTAAAGATAACCATGAGACTAACTGTAATGACTGCTTTTTACTCGTATTCTCATGAAATATGTATAGTAAAATACATGTAAAATAGCATAAAAAGTTGGGCCTAAATTTTTCTTTTATTAAATATATACATTCTTTATACAAAACTCATGTCATATACAAAACTATGAACAATAAGGTGGACAGTGTAGCCATTTCCCCTCGCTTGTTGACATCCATCTGACCGTGTTCTCACCTAGATCCTGTAAAAACATAGGAAACAACGGGGTGAGCACAAAACAATGCTCAGTAAGTAAATCCTCTACTTATCGATCCCCGTAACTCTTTCTCCTCAATTCTTTCCTTACAATTCCCATTACTCTCTTTGCTTTCTCTCCCTCTGTTTATCTTTCTTTTCTATTAACTCTCTCTCTAGCAAGTCACGGCCCCATCTGACCGAAGGCACGGCTGGGACTCACTCCCACTTTCCGTGACTTTTACTCATTCTATCCGATCGGACTCAGTTATGCATGGATTCGGAACCCTTGGCCATGTGAGTACATAAACTCTCTCTCGGGTAAACTCGGGTATAGCCCTCATCCTCATGCACTCTCATGGGCTACACCACTTCTCTCTCATACTCATGCCGCTCTCTCAATGCGGCGTACATGCGGGAATACTCTATTCATTACTCACAGGTTCCCCATCGCACAACCTACTATATTCTCTTATCTAGCACTGCTTTCTCTTTGATCTCTAGCGTCATCCACTCTCTTTCTCTTTACTCTTAGAGTAGCTTATACTCAATTTTGCTTATACTCAATTTTTCTATTCTTTCTCTACTCTCTTTTCTCTTCTCTAGTGCATAATTAAGGCATATAGATGACTCATGCTCATTAAATTATGCCATGTAGCAAAAATTAATGTTTTTTTACTCTTACTCATGCTTCTCTTGAGCATTTCATCATACAACTCATGTGCATATAAAGCTCTACTTTAACTATAACTTTTCTCTTTTCTTTAATCATCCAAACAATGGGGGAAAACTCCCTCATAATCTCTAGATTCCTGTCAAATAAACACACTTCCATAAGTGTTGCTCAAAACTCTTTCCATCTCCTATCAACCCAACTCCACATCATAGAAGTTCAACACTTCTCATACCCAAACATATTCAATAATCATACATAACTACTAATCTCATCTCATCTCATCCCAACAAATATAAAACATACATATACATACACAATCTCTACTCAATTAAATTCTCAAATCTCAACTTAGTTAGGATTTACTTACCTTATGAGGAAATAGCTTCTCTAATACTTCTCATTTCCTTTGATAGCTTGATTTCTCTCTACAGCTTTAAATAACAACCACAACATAAGACTTTAACCAAAACATAATAAAACCCTCATCTAAAGTAAGAATCCTTACCTTAGGATGCTTTAGATTAAAACTCTCCTAAAAACTACTCAAAAAGTCCTTAGAAATCTTTGGAAGATTAAAAGAAATTTGAGAAAAAGTAGAGAATGGAAGAGGCAGTGGAAATGGATGAAATGAAGGATTCTCTACACTTAACCCTTTTTAGCTCAACTTATACACAAGCATTCCCGTTTTGCCCTTACTCTTTCTTGAAAATTTCATCTATATCCTTTGATTCCTTACAAATACACCCCCATACTAACATATTTTCCATGAAATTTCTTTACATTTTACTCCCCACTTTTCCTGCTAATTAGGGGTAGAATGGTCAAAATTGCCCTTAAGGAAAAATATCTAAAACTTAATACAACTTTTCAGCCGACCCGTCGCTGCGACGAAGACAATTCCGTCGCTGCGGCGAAACAATCCAGCAGTTACTCCGTGGCTGTAACACCTCTTCGCCGCGGCGAAGATTCTTCTTCGCCCCGGCGAAGCCTGTAACACAACATTTCGCCAAGTCTTCATAATTTTCAAGGCAATCACTCAACCAACCCAATACATCCAGTCAACCAAGGGCCAACCAAACCAAAAATAACAACATATAAGTTTAATTGAAGCTGAATCAATGAACGTCAAGTGGGGCGTTACAATTCTCCCCCCTTAAAAGAATTTCGTCCTCGAAATTCACACATATAACTC